CTTGCTGGAGCCACTATCTACCTCGTAACATTTTGCGCACTTCCGGGAGTTGCTTTTCTAATATTTCTATATAAAAGTTTTAAATTGCAAGTGGTACACTTTATAGAAAACCACCTCAGGCGAATAATTTATTACGGTCCTTTGGCATTGGACGAATTGGCCTTGCATTTTTATACCAATGTTTTATCGTATAATTGGAAAGATGATTCATCACTAAATAGGGTATTTTCCAATCATCATCCTTGTGTTTTTGAGCTCAATCAACTCGTTTTGCTTATAAACAGAGGTTAACATTGGTGTGCAAAGGGGAAGTGCATTTCGGTATGCCGAATGCCTTGAAACAGTTTAGCGGGTCTGATATCTTTCAATTTATCAGCAGACGACCCAGCAGAAATTGAAGGTTGCCTTCGAATGTATTATCCAATTGCCTGGGATGCATTTGTTTAATACGTCCGTTACCAACCTTTAGCTTTACATTTTCAATATTTTGGATTTTTTTTAAGGTTCGGCGGATAGTACTTATTGGTATCCTTGACAAACTTTGTATTTCAATAGTATTTCGTATTCCTTGCTTCCAAATATGTAATTTTGTCTTTCGTTGTGTTTCTTGCCTTGATGATTTCATTTTGATAAAATATAATTTTTGTTAATGGAATAAAAGGTGATCGGTGATCGAATCTCTACAATAGAAACAAAATATTTTACCTCTCTAAAACAAAAGACTATAATACAAAAATTCTATCTAATTCTTCCTTAAAAAGATCAATTTGGATCAATTAATGGTGACACTAATAAACGTTTATCTATGAGAAATTTAAAGGATTTATTTTTTAGAGCTCACTTAACAACATTGCAAATATTGATAATATACTATTTTTCTTCTACTTTCATTAATTATGTCGGGTACTTTATTATAATTAGTTTATAACGGACAATCAATATGCAGTATTTATTTGTAATTTTATTTTAATTAATCATTTACATAAATAAAAATATCATTTAGCTAAAAAATTTCTTCATTGTTTCTGATTGTCAAATGTGAAAAATTTAACTAGTAATATTAGGGAACGGGGACCATTGTTAAGTCCGGAACAATCTTAACTAAAAAAAATTCACACTGGTATTTGCTTTATCTAGACTTTTGTGCAATTGCAAAGGTCAATATCGACTCAATAATTGAGCGGGCGGACAGCGGGACACCGCAGGTCTAACATATATAGTCCTTCACTTCGTTCCGGACAAATAAGTTAAAATCGTCTTCATTACCTATCTAAAAGAGAGGTTTTATTGATCACGGACACCTCAGAGAATTAAACATCTCCTGCATAGTTGGACGATTTTAGTATTTCAATTTATAGTTTCTTACTTACTATTTTTTGATATTTTCTATTTTTGTTCGTTTCAAATCGTTGCATTTCAGTTCATTTCTAAATCTCTAAACTTTGAGAACTGTTTACATTGATACTTTTTGGGCATAAATTCTCATCTCAACGATCAGTCAAGGAGCACATTGTGTATAACGGTTAAATAATTCTCAACGAAATAGAATAGAAAGTGAATATTTTAACGAAATATCGGATGAATAATCAAATTTACAGACATTATGAAGGCACAAACTTTAAAATTAAAAAATAATTCATGAAATTGTTCGATCATGTGTGAAATCATTATAACCAGCCAAAAAGCCCGACATTCTGTGATGCAATTCAACAAAATACAAAAATTTCAAAAATTTCAATTTTTAGACATTTTATTGTTTTTTTTTTGTTGTACCCAATATAATCCAATTTTGAAAATTTATTTTAGAATGAACTTAATTAAAAAAAATTATATTCTAGTTAAGCATTATTAAATAACCGGTTGATGACGCTGATTGTTAAAAAATGTAACGTGATTGTTTAAAACTTCTTTAAATTTTCGTTCACTTCATTATAAGCCAACCTTCCGGCATTCCATTTTCTCACGTATAACACTTTTATTCATAAAATAACTATTTCATTTGATTCTTTATAAACGCTGTTAAGCCTAAACACTACGTCGTTAGGGTAACAAAGCTTATTTGCTAACAGGGAGTTTAAGTCGTAAACTATGAAAGAAATAAACACGAAATTATTTAAGTTGAAGGGTCAGGTCGTCTTTATTGATGATTTATGTTTTAAGGAAATAGATATTGACAAAGATATAGTTTTTATGTTGTTAAGATTATACTTTATTAATTGTACGATTGAAACTTGTTTATTTTGTCAAGGCGACAATACAGGATATTTATATAAAATACAATTATAATAAAGAGATAATAAATATAATAGTGAAAGTAAATATAACTATGATAATAAAGATAGTAAACGTAATGAAAATGATAGCAGTGAAATCGGTGAAAATGATGATCACGATTTTCCTAGTGATCATTGGTGACATTAAATTAATTGGTGCAGTCATTTAGTGACGCAAACGGATTATCACTAACAACGCTAATAAAGTGTCATTTATTTATATCTTTTTATTCATCATGACAAAATTTAACTTCCTTCTTCTTACAAATAAGACATAATTTTGTTATTTTATTCAATGATATCCAATACTTAACTTCATAACTTGCTAGTATTTCCTTTCTTGTCTTGCCTATTCATCAAAAATAATTAATCATCGATTATGAATATAAATTACAGAATGATCATAATAATAAAAAAGGCCATATCTATCTTCAATTAACAACTCGCTTCTTTTATCAACAAAGAAACAAATAATTTTAATTGGTAAAATTTCCTAATTTAGCAAAAAAAAATCATGTCATTATTATAATCTTATGGCGAGCCAAGAGACAAATGGTTAAGGCCAGACAAAGAAAGTTTTTTAGATTCTCGTGACATAAAATTTTAAAATTGACACGGTCACCCGGTTTTTTTTTTTTTCCAATATGTAAAAGTTTTATATGTACTGTTCTGTATTACATAAATAAAGTTGTTGATCTTTCTTTCGTCGCTTTCTTTAAACAAAATCTAATATTCCAATAATCATTGTACGTGGTTGCTTCGTTCTAAAGTAGTATTTGAATGGGAAGGGCTTCCTGTTAATGAGGATATGAATATAGAAGATCTGAAAGATGAATGTGATGAATCTACTAAAGGTAGCGTGAATGAAACTAATATTGCAATGAATGTCATACAACAGTTTAACTAAGATTCGTGGTAAGGATGTTTAAATTTCCAGTAACAAAAAGGTCACGAAAATAATATGTAACAAATTCACATTTTCGGATTTATAATAATAAAGTTTATCATGTAATGTCACGTGATAAAACTTTACTATAAAAAAAAATTCTGAATTTTCGTAAAACTGACACGGCCGGGATATTTTTCACAGCTAATGTTCACGTGACACTCTGGTAAAAAAGTTTAAGTGACCTAATCATAAACTAGTCATCATTATATTTACAAGAGTTATTTATTAAAATTCTGTAAAAATAAGTTTGTGGTTCTAAATCAAAGATCGTAATGATCATTTTGTTATTACATCATCATCAATGATTATATTTTTCTTAAAATTAATTAAAAATATTTCATCATTAGAAATAATCAAATTTTATTTTCATATCTTCAACCCATTTTCATTTTTTGCTTTTATTCTTTAATATAAGGTTTAGCAGATTTAATCTTCTCAAGTGAAAAATCAGCTTTAGTGAATTCTTCAACAAAATGTAAATTTATTTCTTGTTTTTCCGATCTTATTTGAGGTAGGTTGTTTGTAATGCTTCAGCACCACCTTCTTTTTTAAATGAGTTGGTGAGTTTATATGAGATTCAATGACAAGCTTAAGATCATGTTTAATCTATATGATTGCAAAAATACAGTATAACTTTTTATTTTCTAAACGAAAATTGATAATCTCTCCGATGCCGGGTTTTAGTCACGAACCTAGTAAATCATATGATCTATAACGTGATTTCAATAGCCAATTTTCAGAGCAGCCTTAACTTACCATGTCACTACTCATATTAATAAAAAAGCAAGACTTTTAAAAGATTATTTAGGTAACTTTTAAATTTTTATTTCTAATAAATTTAATTTTATACTAATTAATATTAAAATAAATAGGAAAATAAAAATAAAACTAATATCAATAACAAAATCAGTGAAACTAGTACTAAGTATTACGGTAAGGTAGGGGTGTAGACCCTTATCGTACGATAAGATCTGATATATAAATAAGAGATTTTTTTTTATACATAGTTCACTTCGTTTACTACTCAATTTGCTGTAAATTTCGTCTTGGAAAATATCTTATTTCTTTTTTTACAGTTTTATTCTATTTATTTTTATTCTGTGGTAGAACCAATTTTTTAAATATAAATATAGCCGAAATATTTTTTATTGAAACTTACAATAAAAATGTGATGAAGAAATAAATATTAATACACTGTATTGTTAAAATATTCTATTATTATGGCTACTGCTTTATTGTTATAAAAGCTTACATGGCTGATTTGCTCTAATAGTAAAAGATATATGTAGTCAAATGTAAATTAGGTATTTAAGTTGTTTTTGCTCATTTTTTACAAAAATAATGAGTTATATGTTTTATTCAATAATAAATCTTCTAAAATAAAAAAAAGATTGCAAGAAATATTTTTCTCTTTAACACTGCACTAAATACTGCAAAATTCATTTTAAGTTTAGAAAACATTGCGATATATATCAGGCCAATGAAACTCATCAAATCTTAATCGTACACCCCGCCCGGTTCACGTGATCTTATATTGTATTACCATTTAAGGAATAAAAAATTTAATCGATCATTTTGACATCTTTTTTTTGCAAAATGGTTGCGCAAAATTATCATCTCTTATGTGGGATCGAGTCATTGATACCTTATTTAGCTAACAAGGTGGATTTTTCCTATTATGCAAGGTTGATCGCAAAAAATGTTCTGCATACACTATATAAGCAACTTTTTTCATCGTCATTTTTCTCTTTTTTTTTCAGAAAAAATAAACGAACATAATGCTTGATGATTCAAAACATTTTAAGCTTGGAGAAGGTGCAGTACCTATCAGTAGTCATTTATTATAACACGTGAAAATGAATTAAATGTAAAAATTTTGTCAAATAGAACAATACACAATATTAAAAAGTTTTAACGATGATGTTACAAACTTTAAAGTGCATAAAGTCTATGAAGTGAATGAACCGAATGTTCTTTATGTGATAAAAGAGTACAAAACAACAGATGCATTTGAAAGAGAGTTAATGATGTTCGGTGAATTAAGAAACGCAGAGGTTTGCACTATGAGCTTGACATCATAAATTTTATAAATAATATGTAAATGTAAACTTTTCTCCAAAATATAGAACATTATGCAAATGATAAACTCATGCCCATCACAAGCTATTATAAAATGCGAATGTCCTTTATATGACTTGGAATCATATTGGGTCAATCGAGAACATTACCAGAGACACGAAGATATAATAAAGGTAAAGTAATGCGTTGAATTTATTTAACGCGATTAATCTCTGTAATTCATAAAAATATTATGTTTTCGTAGGATGTATTAACTGGTCTCTTGGAACTCCAGAAACGCAACATAGGTAAGTAATACTATCGGTTTGTATAAATTTTTTATATGAACTTAACAAATTTACTGACCCATAATTTTCTTCACTTCCTTTAATAGTACACAATGGATTAACACCAAAAACCATAATGTACTTTCAAGAAAAAGATATTGGAAGTTGGAAGTTAACTGATTTTGATACAGCATGTTTTACCGACAGTTTATATGATGTGCAATTTACAACAAATTATTCTGCTCCTGAGGTTATGAGAGCATACGAAAAAGAAATTAAAATTAAAGCGAATTTTTCAATGGATATGTTTTCTTTGGGACTAATTTTGTACTTTATTGAAACGGGTATTTTTAGTTTCATTTTTTTTGGTCCACAAAATATCGAATGCGTAGCGTAATTCCTTTTCGTATTTTTAATTAAATAGGGCATCATTATTGGGATGGAGATAATGAGGAAAAAAAAGAAGAGATAATTTCAGAAAAACCATTGACACTAATCAATATTCAAGCATCTGTTGCTTGCGATGTTCTTAACGAATTGCTTGATAAATATAGTTCACGTCGAATGACGCTAAAAGAATTTATGGTAATCAACTATTTTTATTTTATTTTATTTTATTTTTTCAAAAAAAGAGAATTAATAAAAAAATTTGATATTTATTCCCCCCCCCCCCCCACTAAAGCATACACCATATTACATTAATATGTCAGGTAAATATATAAAAAAAAAAAAGTAAATTCTAATTTCATGTTTGTCTTTAAATAAGTTATATTAAAATTTTTGAATTATCTTAGAACAAACGGATAATACATATAGGGAACATCAGATTGATGATGAGACCAATTCTCAAGTAAAGTTAACACAGATAGATTCTGCAGTTAATTTAATACCAGTTAAAATTTCAGGTTTAGTAACAATAATTATTTTCTTTTAGGAATCAGTTCAAGCTTTCCTTGAAAGATATCATAACGAAATGAAACAAAGTCTTAAAATATTGAATGATAAAATTGATAATCGTACAAAGACCGTTGAAGATATATATGAATTCACAAAGAAAATCCCACATCGTGTAAGTAATTTTTTAACTTCATAAAAAAAAAATTGATGTTTATCGCTTATTATGAACTTTTTTGAAAAAAAAAAGTTGGTACAATTGAAAAATGAGAATGTCCCTAGAGTATTTGTTATGGTTCCTGATCATAAGGATTGGAAAAGACCAACGTATGCAACATATATATTTTCCCTTGAATGATTCTTTAAAATAAGTTATTTTTTAATCTTAATTTATTTATTCCAGGTCGTGGTTGGTTTCAAAGCCATTTCGTCTTTTATTTGTTTGCGAACACAAGGAGCAATGGCACGTTCCAGATCAGGAAGGTTATAAAATTCTTGAAACTCCTCAATTTATTAAAAAATATGGACCTTGGATAAATTTATGGTAACTACCATATGAACGAACGAATTTGTATATTTATTGTAAATATTAATAATCAAATTTCATAATATTTGACTAGTTTACAAACATTGAGTTTCTTTCCAAAAGGCGTTGCTAGCAATCTATCATCAATTTTTAACACAAGTAATACTGACATTACACAATATTTTCAAGAAATCATCGATACTATTGATATTGGTGTAAGAACTGTTACCGATGAAAATCCTGATTTTATTCCTTTGAACGATGATAAGAGTAATCCTTATCTAACAATAAATGCTATAGGCCTTCGAGAGCTCAAAAGTATGTAAAATTATTAATAATTTGTGCTTTACGTTATTACTATTCCATTATTAAAATACTTTGAAATGTTGAATTAGGGTTTCTTGATACAAAAAGTAGCGCAGATAATTATGGTGGATTGACGCAATGTTTTGATGATCAAACTCAAGAGATTTTATGGTTATGTGAAGCACATAGAAATGAATATTACGCTAAAACTGTTGAACTAGAACCTTCTTATGCAATCCCTTCTCCTCCTTCATCTTCTATGTTTCCAAACATGCATTCAAACTCTTCCAATTCATTTCGCTTTTCACCAAATCCTTCATCAATCTCATCAACTTCTCTTAGGTCATCAAACTCAGGATCATTTAGTAATATTCCAATTCCAAATCCTGGGTCATCGAATTCTTTTTCATCTTTAAATAATTTTTCAATTCCAAATTCTGAGTCAAATTTTCGATCAAAAATAAATATAACAAATCTAGATCCATTTACTGAATTGGAAAATTTACATAAAATACTTTGCGAATTAATAGAGAATACAATGATGTCCGGAAGTAAGCACTTTAGAAACGATAATACTGCGCAAAAGTTATCTGTGTATATGAGCAAGTTTAAAGATTTATGTTCATGTTGGTTTGATAATGACCAGAAACTTCAATTTATAAACATCGTAAAAAAACAAGTACATTTATATATTTACTGTCTGAGGTCAATTGTACGTTATTGTATTGGTAGGTCATTTCATTACTTCTTCGAAACATTCGTATGAAAGATTTCTAATTGTATTTTTTTCTTCTAGCTAAAAGTTCTAATTCAGTTAGAGAACGAATGTCATTATTTATTGATGGCATATTCGACAATAACATGTTAGTATCTTAATTAATATTTTTGAATCACGATATTTAATGTACCTTTTACTTATTCTTTACCTTCAATTAATATTAGCATCATAAAAGCTGGGAAATCATTCAACGAACATTTGGATAAATTAATAGTTGCTCTTGAAGGGTCGCAATATGATAGGCAGAGATATTTTCAGATTACAGCTGAATTAGATAATTTTAAAAACGATCCAAAACTTTGCGTAAATATTGATAATGATTCAAATATAATCAGTGTGAAAGATTTATCACAATGGTACCATACTGTTGATCGAATATGCATTGAAAACTTAGAATCCCTAATAGATATAGCATACAGCGATAAATTGTTTAATTCAACAAAACAAATTTTAGATGGTTTAAAACTTATTACAGTAAAGTCTTTCAAATTTATCGATCACGTCGACAATTTTTTGTGTGTCGAGAAAGAAATTTATCTTTACAACGAACATAAATTGAATGATAGCGATTATATCATTAAATTTTGTGGATATTCGATTCAGAATTGTAAACCCATTCTATTTCATGAATACGCGAACTTCGGTAACCTTTTCGCATATTTCCAACGGGATTGTTATTCATCAGAATATCTTTTAAGAGATTGGAAGATAAGGATTAGACTAGCTTGGGAAATTTCGCAGGGCGTAAAATACTTGCATGAGGTAAGATTTTTATTTTATAAATTCTCTCAAACTTAAAACTATATCTCTGATAACCAATTTCCATTTTTACAGAAAAAGATCTTACATTTGGATCTTCGAAGTGAAAATATTTTACTACAATACGAAGAAATGACAAAAAGTCTAGTACCGAAAATATCTAATTTTCTTTGGAGTAAATATTCACTTTACAGTAAGATTTCAGTGAATCCAAAAATAACAATTCCTTCTAATGAACAAGTATGGAAACGCTGGTATGATCCAAATAGACTACGAAGTAAAACGAGCTTTGAATCACTTCTTCCGCCATCTGATATATATAGCCTAGGATTATTGTTTTGGGAGATCGCTTGGAGTAGAGATAATAATTTACCATTTAAAGATGTTCCAATTAATGAGCTTTATATTCATATTTATTTAAATCACCATAAAGAAATATTGCCTTCAATTCCATTAGAGTATAAAAGCTGGAAACTTTTAATTGATAAAATGTGGCAATTAAAGTCAGAAGATCGTTGCAATATTATTGCTGTAGAAATAACCATGAAAAATTTACTTGAAGATAAAATAACTTCCGAGAGCGATTTCAGTAAAAATCTTAACGTGGAAGATATAACTGAATCTATCGATGAAACAGAGGAAAAAGCAAGAAAATGGATTGAAGATACTATTAAGCAAAAGGTTATTAAATCGGTAGAATGGTCCGAATTAAGTTCTCATAAGCAGATTGGTGTAGGAAATTTTGGATCAGTATTTAAAGCATATTGGTCAAATTTAAATAATTTTGTAGCTTATAAAAAATTATTGATTTCACCTGACATACAATTTAAAACATGGGAAGCATTTAAACATGAATTACAAATACAAAATAAAATGCGTGGTTGTGAAAATATAATTCAGGTTTTAGGAATAAGTGAATGTAAGTTATATATTTGATTTGAATAACTACCTTGTAATTGCGTTAATATATTCGTTTTCTTTATAGATTCGATTAATGAATATGCCATTGTCATGGAATATGCTAATGATGGAGATTTAAGCATGTATCTTTCGAAAAAATTTTCAAGTCTTGATTGGGAGAAAAAATTTGGATTGGCTATTGATATTACAAATGGTTTGCAATATTTACATAAAGAAAATATTTTGCATCGAGATCTCGTACGTAACCTAATTAAAAGAATTATTATTTATTTTTATTTGTTGAATTTTATTAATTTATCGCATTGTAGCACGCCAGGAACATTGTAATACATCGAGGAAAAGCAAAAATAACGGATTTTGGTAATTCAAAAAGCTTGAGCACTATGACTAGAATACATGATAAATTATTTGGTAACATTCCATACGTTGCTCCCGAAATTTTGAAGGCTGGTAAAAGTGAACAAGATCCCTATACAAAATATTCTGATGTATATAGTTTAGGAGTTTTGTTATGGAATATATCAAGTGGCAAGGCACCTTTTAAAGATCAAAAGGATTATACAATAAGTACGTCAATCTTGTCAGGAATTAGAGAAGAAAGAATACAAAATACACCTGATGAATATTTTGAATTATATAGCAAATGTTGGAACGATGTACCTGAGGAGAGACATTATGTTGAAGATGTTTATGAGGTATTGGAAAGGTTGTTGGAAAATTACAATGAAGAAAAAGGTTCAACATTTTCAGGGTATGAAATTTTCATATTTAAATTATTTAATCAATATCTATAATTTAATTAATAATATAATTTCTTTATTCATTTCAGAAAAATTGAAGATCCATTTGAATGGTTTGAAAATTCAATTAAAGATGGGACAATAACTCATTACTGTTCTAAAGATTTTAATGACATTTCTGAGAGTGGATTTGGCGGGTTTGCAGCTGTTTATACTGTAAGTTGGAAAAACACACAATCTAAATTTGCAATTAAAAGATTTTATAATCCTTGCATACCGATAAGTGAAATTATTAATGAGGTGTGTTATCGATAAAATTTTAAATTAAAGGTGAAATGTTAATATTACTTATTACTTACATTTATTCACGTTGTATTTACATTATAGATTGATTTAATGAAAAAGGTTGATTTTCATCCAAATATAATTAAGTTTTGTGGTATCTCAAAATTCAAAGGTAGCTGCAAGATGATAAAATTATTCAAGATAAAGTGTATTTTTACTTATAATGTTTTATTTATTTTTTAGACGAAATTACAAACAAAATAAATTATTCTCTTGTCCTTGAATATGCAGATAGTGGAACGTTAAGAGATTATTTAAAAAAAAATTTTGATACATTTAAATGGAAGGATCAATTAAAATTTGCAAAGGAAATGGCCAGTGCAATCTTATGTTTACATCATAATAACATTATACACCGAGATCTTGTAAGTTTAGTTTATTAAGCTTTATTGTTTTTTATTATATGATTGAAACATTTATAATATAAAATTTTATCGTTTTTAGCATTCCAAGAATATATTAATACATCAACATACAACAAAGTTAATAGACTTTGGAATTTCACGTCGGTTGGAAAATTCAATTGGATATACTAATAGAATGTTTGGCTCGGTACCTTATATGGACCCTAACTCTTTTAATATTCAAGGAATTCAAAATCATCCACATATTTTATCTAAAAAATCCGATATTTATAGTTTGGGTGTATTATTCTGGGAATTAACAAGTCGTTCATTACCTTTCGGTAGTGATATAAATGAGTGTGCTCTCATATCAAAAATTTATAATGGAGAAAGGGAGCATCCCGTTCCAAATACAAACGCTAAATTTGTCGAGCTTTACCAAAGTGAGTCTAACAAATTTTAAATAAAATTGTTTATTTACATTCTTCATGGTATATATAACCTTTAAATTTGTTTCTAAACAGAATGCTGGCAACTTGAACCGGATAAAAGACCAGATATTCAACAAATTAATGATCTTCTTAAAACTTTTGAGGATGTCAATATTAATGAGGAGTATATTGTTGAAATTAATAGCATAAGCGTAACACAAGAAATGAATGAAATATCTCATGAAGGATGTGATTTGGAAGATTATTAATTTAATAATATACGGGACGCGATTTTAGTATATTCTAGTCCTATGAATCTTAAATATCGCCTTCAAGGTTTAGGAGCAATTTACGGCCTGCTGAAACGTGAACAATATTTTACAAGTCACGATAGGGGTAAAGAATAACTGTATTTTTTTGTTATGTATTAGGGAGAAAACTCAAAAGCATTCCATTTTTACAGTCTAGATTTCTTTAATCACTTATTACTTCACCTGTTCAATAAAATTTCTTTAAAATTTTTTTATGATGGCATTATCAAAAGATTTATTGTAGAAAAATTTATATATGCATTTTTTTTTTATTTTTTTTTTTGAGGAAATAACATATATTATGGGAGGTTTGCTATTAAAATCGAGTTACGAAAATAGAAAATCATATGATCCGTAACGTGATTTTAATAGCAAACCTCCCATATAAAAGTTCCGTTAACATCAATTAAATTAAAATTCATGGAAGTCCTATTTAAATGTCATAAATTGTCTCTTTTTATTGATTTGTTTTCATTCAATCTTAAGTGAAAGTGATATAATATTCTGAGACGCCAGAAGTCTTTTAAATGATCAATTCCCATTCATTCCCCAAATATTCAATAAATCCAAAAAATCAATGTACTGTATTTTACCAATAAATAAAAATGTTAACTTCATAAATTCGATAAATAGTTTATTTACTAAATCCTAACCAACTACACTTATTTCTCAATTGTTGTCATCTTTATTCTATGTTAAAATGATCTTATTTTTAGATAATTTACCAATAAATACTTCACCATTTTCAGGATAACCTATATTTCTTTTGATAATTTTTTTAAGTTTCTTGCAATTTGACAAATCCAACGAAACCAATTCAATATTATAGCATGACAAACTTTCTAAAGAGTTAGGTAAAGTTGGGAAACTAGTTATTTGTGTATCATTGCAGTAGAGACTTTTTAAAGAGTTAGGTAAAGTTGGCAAACTAATTAATGGAGTTTCATAGCAATATAGTTTTATTAAGGAGTCAGGTAAAGGTGGTAAACTTGTTATTTGAGAATTGTTACAATAAAGTGTTGTTAAAGAGCCAGGTAAGGTTGATAAGTTATTTACTTGTGTAAATGAGAAAGAGAGTTCTTTTAAAGAATTAGGTAAGGCTGGCAATCTAGTTATTTGAGTATTATGACAATTGAGTACTTTTAAGGAGTTTGGCAAAGTTGGTAAGCTAGATATTGGAGTTCTATAGCAATGGAGTTCATTTAAGGAGTTCGGCAAAATTGGTAGACTATTTATTTGAGTTTCAGAACACCTGAGTTTTGTTAAGAAGGTGGGTAATGTTGGTAAGCTGATGATTTTCGTTCTATGGCAATGGAGTTCTGTTAAGGAGTTGGGCAAGGTAGGTAGGCAATTTATTGGAGTTTCAGAACACTTGAGTGTTGTTAAGAAGTTGGGTAATGTTGGTAAACTGGTTATTTTTGTTTTATTGCAATAGAGTTCTGTCAAGGTGTTTGGTAAAGTAGGTAATCTAGTTATTTGAGAATTGTTACAATCGAGTTTTGTCAATTTTCGATATCTTTGCAATCCACCTGAGGTATTTAATATGTCATCCTTATTAATATCGGTAATAGTTAAACAATCAATAGTTTCATAAGAAATGATGATTTCAAGATTCCTGATCCTTCCTTCTAATTTCTTAATAATTTCTTGACTGGCTTTTTCTCGTTCTCTAACCTTGGCTTCTAAATGAATAATAGTTTCTTGCTTGGCTTTGGTTTCTTCTTCTCGCTCTCTGACCTTTTCTTCAATATCTTCGAATCGTGAACGTAATCCTTCGTTACTTTGCTCCAATTCCATAATTCTAGTTTCCAAGTCTTTTAGGGTTTTTTCTAAATTGTTCTTTATAACCATTTTTGCGATTAAATTTTCCCTAATTTAAGTTTAATTTATTATTCGATAGGAATGCTATTCAGGCGAATATTTATTTTTTATTATTGTGCTTATATGCAAAGAAAAATAAACAGCAGAGGGGGTTTCTTAAATTTTATTTCTTCAGCCCTCGGCTTAAATATTCCCCATTTGTAATGAATTTCCATAAGTGCTATAGTTTGCGCGCCTATATTTTAAAGCAGTTTGGATCGTCGGTGTCATTTCTTGCCAAATAAAGTTAACCGAATTTTCTGTATTAATTTTATATGGTCCTTTCTATCACTTAGTTGACTAAAAAGCGATAAGTTTACAAAAACGTGATGTCATAGTAAAGGAATCAGAAATAATAGTTGGTTTAACTTGATTAAACATATTCAATGACACCTATAATGGAATTGATAATTTCCCAAGTTCATTGCTGTCGATCCTTTAACATGATCGATATATTTTTGAACTTGTATTTTTTTATACGAATTCAAATATTTTTTTTTTTAAAAAAAAAAAAAAAAATATTCAGAAAACGTACGTGCAACAACTCAATACATATTTTCCGACGTACCTTATGTTTTATTGGTTTTGGAACTTTCTTTTCATAGGGCTATGAAGTTTAATGTATTATATTCTAAACAAAAAATTTGTAAGAATCGAGGCGCATGGTTAGAAATAATCGATTCTTGCAAATAATAATTTTAAAAACGTGTTCGCGGTGGAGTCAGCTTTACTCTTACAAGTAACGTGCGTTTAAGAAGTAGTCGGTTGTTGGGAAAGTAAAAAGCTACGCCCCAAATTTTTGTGTTTCGGCGGCGGAATTATGATAATTTATTTGGTATAATAAATTTTTATTCTAAAAAAAAAAAAATTGATTATTTTCTTCGAAATGGTCCAGTCGCGGCAATTTCTGGAGTAACACAGACATGGTCGTTAGGCCCCATTTTCGGAATACTGAAGCAGATGAGATCGTCACACCACGGCTAGTGAACGAGTCCACAACCATAAAATCAATTTGTCTCCTGCATTTAATCGTTTCTTCGTTTACATTAATTTATTATTTTTCTCTCTATTTTTTAAAAAAAAGGCTGATGACACGATAAATTGTCCTAAAAGTATGTAATGTCTCGTTCTTTCATTAACCTTATTCTTCATAAGGAACCGTTGGAAGAAGAAAAATTGAAACCATTGGATATCAATGCGCCAGTTATACACTTTGTTGGAAAAACAGGTATGCGTTGATAATATGACCTTTCCTTCGAACTATTTCATCTTTTGCAAGTTTCTAAATGTCGATCCGACTTGTTATTAAGATA